AGAGCTGAAAAAATGAAACCATCCATCCACGGTTAGGAGAGCTAGATAACAAAAAGCTTGTTTTGCTGTTATAAAGAAAATAACCCAAACAAAACCTTGCATTGAGATGATGCACTTGTTATTACATCAAGTTAGCTGGCCCGCCATTTTGAACTTGAAGAGTGTGGGGACTGGACCGAGTTCCCGTCCAATCCTTCTCCCGTTTCGCAGGAATTTTTTCTGTTTTTCGTCAGGTGTGTTGGAAATTCTGGAAGGGATCTGTTTCAGGATAATTTTATTTTCGATGGCACTTTATTCTTTTGGAGGGGTAAATGACCAGTGCGGTGTCACGTCATGGGCTGAGCAAGAAACAGGAATGCTTCCTTTGTTGTCTTGCCATAGTGACATGACTGCATGGTTAAAGCACAAGTAGAAGGGTTCAGGTGTGTCCGGGCAAGAAGAGGAAGAACTGGTGATGCCAAAGCTACAGGTGATTCAAAATATCAGTTAGGGATTATATACGCGCACAAATGGCTTTTATCGTGATCTAGGGGACTCTTCTGACTGAGGAGAGATTTAGAGACGACGATATGTAGTTTACGATATTGTCGTCTCAAATTGTTTGTTTATGGTTGATTGGTTCCCATGTTAATATCCTGGGTCCTTAGGAAGAGCACTAAACATTCATCAAATTTGTCCAAAAAAAAAAAAAGTACGATAATCTAGACAAATCTGGGTCTGGGTGGACTGAGCCCTCTCTTGGTTGATAGGAATACAGCTGCTTGTTTACATTAAGCTTGTCACGTGCACATGTTTATCTTGCAATGCACAATTCCATTATTTACCCTTTTCGTCGAAGATCTTTGCAAACATGCTGCATCTAAGTTTTTCGATGAAATTGACATTTTCAGGGAAAAAATGTCACTAAAACGTCGTCGCAAAATCGACCGAATTAGTTGATATTATTGGATTTGCTTGGAATGGAAACTGACTCTGAATTGTTCTGGAAGAGCGCGGAAGATTTGTGTATATTTGTACAAAAAATTGTTTCATTATTTAATTAAAAAATTATTTAGAATAATGTTAACTATTCAGTTAAAAGAATAATGAAAAAATATACCTAAATAAGAGTGTTATCTGCTAAAACTCTCTAAAATTCCCTAAAAAAACTTACAAAATTTTTATTTTTTTTGGATAGCGAGGGTCTCTTTTGGTGAATAACCGCTGATTAGTTGTAGTGTAGATGACTCTGATGAAAAACTGCTGATTTGTTGTGCTCAGTGAACAGTACTCTAGACACTGTTGTAGCATGTGGGTGGACTGAGCCCTCTCTTGGTTGGTAGGAATACAGAAAAATAAAAACGTTTTTTCAACGTTTCTGCCTGTGAAGTGTTGCTATTCAGTATTCTCCTATATATACTGCTATTTAAGTTCTAGTATTTGTCAATTTTTTTCTAATATTCTTGAGATTTTCTAAAATTCTTTTTCGTGTCTAAAATTTCCAAAACAATTCCTACGGAATTTTGTAGCTAAGCCTATTTTAAGTTGACTTGTCTTCGACGAAACAGGCAAATAAAGGAGACCGGTGGAGTTTCAATACAAGCTGGCTCGAATTGTGCATTGCCAAACTTAGCCTTGCTTGATAAGCGTGCCCACGTGACAAGCTGAATGTAAACAAACAGCTCGAGCAGACAAAAAACAGCCTTCAAGTTATTTCTATTATTGTTATTGTTATTTTTTTTTTTTGATAAAGATATTGCTGCGATGAGTTTGTTGAATATTTAGTGCTCTTCGTAAGGACCCAGGAAATTATCATGGGAATCGATCAACCATGTGAACAAACAATTTGAGAAGACAATATCGTAAATTATATATCATTGCAGTCTTTCTTCAAGCAAATAAACTGCGATAAAAATCATTTGTGTGCGTTTATGATCCCCAACTGATCTTTTGAATCAGCTGTAGCTTTGGCATCGCCAGTTCTTCCTCTTCTTCCCCGGACACACCTGAATCCTTCTACAGCAAGACAACAAAGGAAGCATTCCTGTTTCTTGCACAGCCCGTGACGTGACACCACACTGGCCATTTTCCCCTCCAAAGGAATAAAGTGCCATCAAAAATACAATTATCATGAAACAGATGGCTTTACACACCTGATGAAAAACAGAAAAAATTCCCGCGAAACGGGAGAAGGATTGGACGGGAACTCGGTCCAGTCCCTACACTTTTCAAGTCCAAAATGGCGGGCCAGCTAACTTGATGTAATAACAAGTGCATCATCTCAATGCAGGGCTTTGTTTGGTTATTTTCTTTATAACAGCAAAACAAGCTTTTTTTTATCGAGCTCTCCTAACCGTGGATGGATGGTTTCATTTTTTCAGCTCTAAAGGACTCGGAAAATCACAGTTCACCTCGATACTGCTCACTGAAGCTCGTATATGCCTGTGTAATCTACGTATATATGGTCATGCTCCTTTGCTGATGGGTATTTAAAACAACTATTCAGGCTATTACAAGGTCAGACGAAGATTATATGTTAACGAACCTTTTGATAAGCTAAATTTATCTGGTAAAAATGTAAAAAAATGGGCCTGACAAAGTATGGAGACTTTCCATGCTTGGAGTAATGCTTAGAAATATGACGTGAAACTGACTATAAATCAAAGAAAAATTTAAGCATCTTGTAAAAAGATTTTTATATGTACATCAGAATATCATCATTTGTGTTCTATGGTGGTTACTAGGTTTTCAAAAAATAAAATCACCTTTGTTTTGCTAAATTATGTGTTTGTTGCGCTAATCAGAGGCCCGTTTGAGATCAATTTTAAGGTAAGAATCGGTGTATTTCTAAACAACAAAACTGATTTGGCTTTGACAATTCATTTTCACTTACCAAATACAGAATAAGGGCTTCTTGTTAACAATTTGGTTTGTTTATGGCCTGAATTAGGCTCAAAATTCCATTTTGCATCGCCTTAGAGGGGCATGAAGTGTTTGTTCCAAAAATTCAATAAACCATAATAAGCCAAATTTTTCTCAACTGATTTTGATAACTGGGTGACTAAAGTAAACAGTGGTATAGGTTTGGAAGTTATGCAAGAAGGCAGGTGAATATAGTGAAATTTTGAAAAATGGCTATTTTGGGTTGTAATTTTAACATCAATTTTGGCCAAACTCTAGCCCCAGGCTCCTCTCTGTGCAATACCTTGAGGACAAAGTTACATGCATGAACTGAAAGCTCTATTATAGTAGAGTTCATGGTCAAATTCATTTGGCAGCACAATTTACCAGTGGGGTCTTATCACACTTTCAAAATGCCCCCTGGAAGGCTGGATTTTTGGTGCTCAAAGGGCAAAAAATGAGACCCCCCCTGTAACTCCAAAACTAAAACTCAGAGAAGTGAGCCAAAGTGGCTTTTGAAATATCTCATTATACCTAACTTCTGTGCCAAGTTTCAGCCAAATCGGTTGACCACAACTTTTGGCCCCTGGAACACTTTCTCAGACAATGACACTTAAACAACAGAACAGAAATAGATAAAAAACTATGGAGCAGATAAGATTATGACCAACCGCCATTACGCCGCTGACTTTGCGTGTAACACAAAACTCAGTGAAGGTTTTGTTGGGGTGGGAATAGGGGAAGACTTGAGGTTCAAAACTAGACAAGGTCCTAACATGTCTGAGATCATCAGCAGCAAACTGGCATGCACTAATAATTCTTTCTGTGACAAAAATCGATCAATTATTGTTTCTTTATTTTAAGGTCATTTCGTTATACCTCATATCGTCAGTTTACTTATTGGTTACATGGATATCTTGGGAAAAAAAATTTCGAAGGGTCATTCTCCGTTTGCAGTGAAAAAGATGTGGGTTACTTTTCCTGCAGAAGATGGTAATTACACCGGCTACAAAGATGATGACACTGGAGACGATGATGACAATGCCTTGATGGCGAGCTAGCAGGACCAGGCCTCGAGAAACTATTTTAATTTTTAATGTGCAAATTTGCATTAAGGATATTTTGAAGCAATTTATCTGCAAGAACATTATTTTCCGTCTATGATGAATGACTTCATGCTTACCACCATCTCAGTATTTTTTTTATTCACAGGTGAATGGAAATCACCACCAACAGGAAACAACCCTAGAACAAAGGCCGCCCTTAAGAAAAAGTCATAGAGACTTCATTGACAATTCCCTTTTTTGGACCCGCTCCAGCTCACATCGATGTCGGGATTCGAAATTAAAGGGAACGTTATATGGATCTCTAGACGACCTAGTTGTATCAATTGATGAAGAGGATATTCCACTATTTTTTAACTCTCTTGATATTTTCACTTAAAACAAATAACACCTCATACAATGGTTTGAAGAGAACGATGATAAACACACCATTACTCGAGACACAGACGGACATTGAAAATCATGCATTGCGGGCGCAACCTACAGATTAGTCAATCATCTCCAACCGGTCGTAACTGTACCTATATATTCCACACATTGGTTGCGGCATTTCTCAGGGTGTGTTTCTTAAATTTTGCTTAAATTTATTGTTGTCTCTTTTCTTTGGCACTGATGTGGAAAACATTCATCTGGAAAGTGGAAATCCTGTGAAAATATATACCCGCCATCTCTTCCAATCCTTTACTTTCACTCCCCAATTGATATCGCCCTAAATAATCTACTTCTGTAATTTCAGTTTCGCTCAACGGTTTGCAATTTGGGACATTTGAGATAAGGAGTCTGTACAGCACGCTATGTGCGTTATTTGAATATAAAATATTGCAATTGAATTCCTTACCGAGATAACAAAGACACAAAAGCAAACAAAAGCATTAAACGAAGAAAGCAGGACTGATTTTACCAACTGAGTCCGTTAACACATTAAAGCAGGCGGATTCATGGATTGATACTGCCTGATAGTGCCTGTACTTTACACCACTCTAGCATTAACTCAAATGCAAATGCCAAGAACAACGAAAAATTCAATTCAATTAAGAGCACTTCAACGAGTACAACTTACAATATAGGTAACCGCGTCAGACCTGAGAACGATCCTTTTTCCAGTTTCTGGATTTTGTTATTTTGAAGATATCTGCATAATAAAAGAAACAAAAGAATTGGGTAGACAAAAGCGCTAAAAGCTCCTATCACGATAACACCACTGTTAATAAGAAAATATTGCCCAAAATACTNGTACTTTACACCACTCTAGCATTAACTCAAATGCAAATGCCAAGAACAACGAAAAATTCAATTCAATTAAGAGCACTTCAACGAGTACAACTTACAATATAGGTAACCGCGTCAGACCTGAGAACGATCCTTTTTCCAGTTTCTGGATTTTGTTATTTTGAAGATATCTGCATAATAAAAGAAACAAAAGAATTGGGTAGACAAAAGCGCTAAAAGCTCCTATCACGATAACACCACTGTTAATAAGAAAATATTGCCCAAAATACTCTTTAAGATTTTCAAAGGATATTTTTCCCACAAAAAATTGTTCGTTTTCTTAAGTTACTTTTTTTCCGTTCAAAAGGGGCCTATAGAGAATGACAGATTGAAAACTCCCGCATCCCCCATTTTCAGCGGCGTGAAAGGCTCTCGGGTGTGATGACGTAATAAGGTTGCTCGCTCTAGCTGCCTGGGCGCAATTCTGGTGTTTTTGTTAGAAACAACAAGCTTCGCGTTGTGACCTGCAGAAGTGATCGTGATGTCTATTCAGCCTTATCAGCTTGAGGCTGAGTACTCTTCCAGTGAAGAAGACGCGAAGGATTAAGAGGAGGAAGAAGTTTCGTAATGTCAATCTTCGAGCATTGAAAGACGCCGGACAGATTCTTCTTGTTGTGTTTGTAAAAGATGTACAGTCACGTCAAGTGAAAGTGAATGTGTGATGCAAAGAACTCCCTTTTTTGTCAACGCCAGTCGAAGGTTTGTTACTTTCCACCTCACTTTTTAATTTGTTTATTTCGATGGGGAGCCATAGGAACTATGAAAGTCCGTGATGCCCAGACAAGACTAGCCTGGTGGTTTGATTGCGGCTGTCAATCCTTGGCCTCCTAATTACCAAAATTACTTGATGGATTACCGTTTATTTGATCCAAATAAATTGTACTATTTTACTATCGAAATCACCAGAGAAACCATTTTGGAAGTGTAAGCCCTAAACATTTTTTTAAGGTATTTATTGATAATCACATTAGATCATTACATTTACAATACTAACAAAAAAGCATTAATAGACATTAACAGAGTAAAGCAAAATTAATCGTTAAATTATTACAGTGCTAAAAGAAACTAGAAAAAAGTACAACAGGGCAATCAAGTAATGCTAAGTTAAGATATTTAACTTAAATAAGGCGTCAGTATCCAATTTCATTTAAAGAAATCTTTGTTGCTGATTTTTTTTTCTTCATATTTAGCGATGATCTCCGCCCTAAATCCATAAATGTTTGGAAGGATTTGTTTGCTCCCACAGTCCCACGAAAAGAGTTTCCCAATAAGCATAAAATAGTTCAGCAATTGAAGTAAAGGGCAAGCATTTTCCGTCGAAATTCCAAACAGCACATTTTCTACGCAGAAACGAAGTCGTTCATTCGAAATAAGGCACCAATATAATTCAAATTCAATCCAAAACTGTTTAGAAGGTGAGCAGTGATAGAACAAATGAGTTAATGATTCGGGGTGATTGTCACAGAAAGTACATAAATCATTTGTTCTAAAACCTATTTTATACAACCTTGTATTTGTGTAAGGAATTGAGTTAATTACTTTGTACTGGAAGGCTTTAACATACGATTGGACAACGATAGAGTGTGGCAGCTTAAATATTTGTTTCAGATTGTCGCTGTTAAAATGAAAGTTACTCTGTAACTTTTGAATTATATAGGGCGGTTTGGCTTTTTCTCTGATAAGAAGAGTGTAGTAATCCTTTGATTTCCCTTTCGTAACATAAAAAATGTTGTCACCCATCACAAAGGTTGGTGAGTTTATGGAGGGATACCTGTCGTAACTTCTAAGCGATAATGCAATGGACCTACATAAGCCAGCCCATTCTAAAATATTTGTTTTGCATATGTTTTTCGACAGTTCATTATAGGAATCAGTACTGTTCAGACTAGATAAAAGATCTTGAATGCAAATGACTCTCGCATTAACATAATGTTTACAATAAACCAGCTTCTTTTCCACTTTTATTTCTTTGTTATTCCAGATTATGGTTTTCCAATCTTCTTCAGTGGCAAACGTTTCACGAAATTGCGACCACCATGACAATAGTTCCTGGTGGAATTGAGAAGGAATTGTGTAATCCGAGATATTGTAGTTGCAGTTAAAAAAGAACAATCCCCCAACGGAGCTCACTATGTATTGTAGGTAGCTTTTCCATGTTCCATTGGTCCCACCGAAAAAACGTTTTAACCAAGCTAATCTTTGCCATGTACACCTTTGACTCAAGGTTAGTTCCTTGGTCGCTAAGAAGATGACGAGGTTCACCGAAGCAACAAATGAACTCGCTCACAAGCTTCTCTGCAACAGTGGTGGCCTCCTGGTTGGGCATTGTATATATCTCAGTCCATTTTGTGAAATAGTCACTAACCACGAGTATAAACTTGTTAATTTTCGGGTTTCTGGCAGTGGGCCAAGAATGTCAATCGCGATTCGTTCCATGGGAGCTCCCACCACGTACTGATTTAACGGAACACGACGTTTGCATGGCACCTGGCGACAAATCTGTGAACTGCCAGTAATAACGAGATTGAAGAGCGCCTAGAGTCTTCCGTACACCACGATGACTCGCAGTCGTATGACTATGATGAGCTTCGAGAGCAGCCTGTCGAAGACTCTCGGGAAGAATGACCTTGTCAATAATCTGTTCTCCTCCGTCACTTTCACATTAGCGACAAAGTACACGGTTTCCGAAGAGCAGCCGGTCCCACTCTGACCACAAGGTCCTCACAGCACAACTCTAAGGCGACACATCTTCCCACAATGGTTTTTCTTTGCCGGCTTCCTTCCAACCAATAATAACCTGGAGATCAAAGTCAGCTTCCTGCTGTTCCCTCAACAAAGTTGAAGTCCAGGTTGGTTCTAACTTGACAGTGGCACAACGAGCACCAACAGATTCTTCACAATTCACAGGTCGTTCGTTGTCCTGGCAAGGGACATGCATCACAGTCTGAACACCCACATCAACAAATGACGCTCGCTCCCGTGACTTCCAGCCCTTACACCACTTACAACGGACACCACAGGGTCTGCGGGAAAGTGCATCAGCATTCAGTTGTCGCTGTGCTGGTCGATACTGGTAGAGCTTCAGCTTTCATGAGTTCATTAGTTAGGTTGCACGTTCGACAGGGAGCCCTAGAAACCGGACCTGTTGTTTTGCGTTTCCGGCATGATCAGTTCAAATGCAGAATCTTGTACCTTGTAGGTAATGCCAGTGTTGCTTAACAAACTCAACGACTGCCAAGAGCTCACGACGGGTCACGCAATAGTCCCTTTCAGACTTGGACAATGTCCGACTTGCAAACGCAACGGGTTTTTCCACCCCGTCCTGAAACTGTGACAACACTGCCCCAATGCCATGAACTGACGCATCGGTGTCTAGCACAAACTCTCCCTCCCTGGTAGGGTAGGCTAAGACTCTACCGGACGTAAGTAAACCCCTCAGGCTGTCAAAAGCCAACTGAAATTGCTCTGTCCGATCAAATTACGCCTTGGCTTCCGTTAGCTTGTACAACGGCTTAGCTATGGTCGAGAAATCAGGGATGCATCGGCAGTAATAAGAGGAAAGTCCAAGGAAACGTTTGACCTCCGTGCTGTTTTCTGGGGTGGGCCAGGTGCGAACTTGCTCCACCTTTTCAGGGTCTGCAGCAATGCCTTCCTCCGTGACCACATATCCGAGGTACGAAACCCTTTTCTGGAAGAGAAAACACTTCTTTGGCTTAAGTTTTAGTCCTGCCCTGGCTAGTCGCTCGAACACCTCTTTCAACCGCTCTAATTCTTCTTCAAAAATGCGTCCCATAACTATCACGTTATCAAGATAGATCAAACAAATCTTCCAATGTAGGCCCTTCCAAACAAGTTCCATCAATTTGGCAAAGGTGCTGGGTGCGTTGCAGAGGCCCAAAGACATCACAGTCCACTCACACAAGCCGCTTGAAGTTACGAATGCTGCCTTCTCCTTGGTGCCCGCATCCATTAGCACTTGCCAGTAACCTGAGGCAAGATCCAAACTTGAGAACTATCGGGAACCAATCAAAGCAGCAAGAGAATCATCAACCCGTGGCAAGGGGAAGGCATCCTTTACCGTCACTGCGTTAAACTGGCGGTATTCCACGCACAGCCTATGGCTACCGTCCTTTCTGGTTGCTAGCACAACCGGAAAAGACCTGGGGCTGGACGATTCCTTCACCTTCCCCTGCTGTAGGAGGTCAGTGACTTGTCCATCTATCTCATCATGTTTCCATGAAGAAGTTCGCCGGGGTTGAATTCGGATTGAAAGAGCATTGCCCATATCGATTCTGTGCTGGACCATGTGCGTGGTGTCCAAGTCCCCGTCTGAGATTGAGGACACATGCTTGTAACTGAATAGCATCTCCTGCAGTCTCCCAGTTTCACTGTCAGTTAAATTATCCGTGCTTCTCTCAAGTAGTTCCCGTAAGTCCTTCGGTAGAGTCTTATCGACTGCTCCTTGTGACACATGTTCATTTATTACTCTAGCTTGGCCCATAGCACCGTCATAGTTCTCTTCATTAAGCTCTAGGGAGGTGACATCAGTAACTGGCTTAGCGAAGACAATCACAGTCTCAGCAGCCAAATGAAACACTTCATGAGAAACATTAAAAACACGTAAGGGTACCACCCTGTCCTCCTTAACATTAACCGGAGTCCTTGCAACATAAAGTCCTTTTTGTTGCAAATGTGAGTTCAGATATGGTTTTAACAATCGCGTGCCTAATTGAGACGGCCTTGGATCTAAGTTAAATGAACGCTTGTGAACAATGTTAAATACAATACAATACAATGTTCTTTATTTAGAGAGGGTAGATACATGATTAACCCAGTAAAGAGTTTTCTAACACATGGCCCTCGAACGAGGACTGGGACGATCACCTCAGTGTTAGGTTCAATCATGGTTGACCGGCGAACCACACATCTGGGACTAAGGGGTTGGTTCTTGAAATCAGAACAATCAAACACTTTGCCATGAATTGGCAGTTGGTTTGTCACAATGTCAATACGTGAATCAACTTGTGACAGGGGGTCCAAACCGAAAATGCCCTCATCCTCAATCTCAGGAACAATTACATGCATTTGAAACCCGCTGTTACCAAGGCGCACGACAACATGTCCCACACCATAAGTTTTCGCTTGTTGACTATTAGCAAGAGCAATGGCAGAATTTTCTGAACTCAAACTGAACTTAACGCTAGCAGGAAAAGAATTATAAACCTTGAACGACCAAACTGAACGTGGGTCTCCAGACCTTGTTGTTGCACTCGAATGTCAGAACGTGACATGTCCAGCTGACCTTTAAGCAAATGAGGCTCTTTATCGGTTTTACAACCCTCGTAAATTCTAAAATTTTTAAACTGTCGTAAAATCTTTCCTATACGCATTTAAGGGCTCAAATTGCCTTTATGAATTAAAAGGAGATTTGTGCCCTGTTATGCTTAAGGAAATATTTCATGACAGTTTTGAAAATTTCGAAATTACAAGGATTTGAATGGAAAACCATGCAAGCGTGACTGGATGGTAAAAGCTGTTTTTCTCATTCAAATGCTTCCAACCTTTGGCGGCCGTTGCAATCGCTACTTTTGAGATATACGTCTCAAAATTCTCAGGTTCTACCAGCTAATTTTAATATGGTCTTTCAGCTTGTGCCAACAAAACTTTTCAAAAGTGAACTGTTTTCGTGTTTAGCTTAAGTTGATCACGTGATCAAGTCATGCAAAGAGGCTATTTTGAAACATGAAGCTCAAGAATCTAAAGTCAGGAGCCGACTAAGCAAAAATTTATTATCTTCTCTTTTCTTTGGCACTGATGTGGAAAACATTCATCTGGAATGTGGAAATCCTGTGAAAATATATGTCCGCTTTGTCTTCCGATCCTTTACTTTTACTCCCTAATTGATATCGCCCTAACTAATCCGCTTCTGTAATTTCAGTTTCTCTCAACGGTTTGCAATCTGGGATATTTGACATAAAGAGTCTGTACAGCACACTGTGTACGTTATTCGAATATAAAATATTGCAATTGAATTCCTCACTGAGATAACAAAGACACAAAAGCAAACGAAAGCGTTAAACGAAGAAAGCAGGACTGATTTTACCAACTGAGTCCATTATTATTTAAGTCGGCAGATTCATGGATTGATAGTGTAGTATAGTGATGACAGTGTCTGTACGTTACATTACTCTGGTATTAAGGCCAATGCAAATGCCGAAAACAACAAAAAAATTCCAATAAATAAAGAGCACTTTAACGAGTACAACTTACAATAGCTGTAGAAAATTCAGACCTAAGAACGTTCCGTTTTCCAGTTTCTGGATCTCGTTATCTTGAAGATATCTGCATAATAAAAGAAACAAAAGAATTAGGTAGACAAGAACGCTAAAAACTCCTATCACGATAACACCACTCTTAATAAGAAAATCTTGCTCAAAGTGCTCTTCAAGATTCCGAAGGAGATTTTTCCGACAGAAATATATTTAGTTACTTTTTTTTTTGCCGTTCAAAAGAGGCCTATAGAATGAAAGATTGGAACTTCGGGCATCCGCCACTTTTATCGGCGTGCAAGGCCCTCTGGGGTGATGACGTAATAAGATTGCTCGCCCTGGCTGCTTGGACGCAATTCTGGTGTTTTTGTTAAAAACAACAAGCTTCGAGTCGTGACCTGCAGAAGCAATCTCGATGTCTATTTAGCATTATCATCTTGTTGCTGAGTCCTCTTCCAGTGAAGAAGCTGAAGAGAGAACCCCGTGGATTTAGACGAGGAAGAAGTTTCGTAATGTCAATCTTCGAGCACTGAGAGTGTCCGGACGCATTCTTCTTGGTGTCTACTAGACACCAAAACAACAACAGTCCTATTCAGGACTACGTTCACCCGGACGATCAAACTCAACCTACTTTTCTTCTTGGTGTGTACAGTCATTTCAAGAGAAGTGGGATGTTTTGTCAAAGCCAGTGGAAGGTTTGTTAATTTAAACTTGATATTTTTCAAACTCACTTTTTAATTTTTTATCTCGATGGGGAGCTAGGAACTATGAAAGTCCATGACGCCTAGACAAGACAATATCCCTACTATCCATTAGTTTTCTCAATCGACCGTAATCCAAGAGGGGCGTGAATAGGAGTATGCAAATCCGTCGATCCATTAAAAAAAATCCTAAATCCGAATCCGCCGATTATTTCTCATGTGAAAACGCTCCTTGGGCTGTGTGTTAGCTATACAATTTTACAAAGTTAAACGTCCTCGCGCTTTAAAGAACAATATCTCTCAACATTACTGGAATGTTTAAGTAGCCCTTGGCATTTCATTTTCATATTTTCTGATAAGCTAAACGATCGATCTACCTCTACATTAAATGTCTGTGGTTTATTCTGACTTTTCGTCCAAAACGCGTCCTGGCTCCTACTAAGAAAATGGGCAGTCTGTCAAATTTCGACCTGGAGTCTCCACCTGCCAGTTCCTCGTGTTCGTCCGTACTTCAATCGCATTCTACATCCTCATCATCATTATCGGGGTCACTTTCCCGGGTCTCAACCTCCCTTTCTTTCTCGAGCTCTCTCACTTTAGGGGATTCAGTTGAGGACAGGTTGTCTCTGTTTGCAGATATCTGTAGCTGTCTCTGATAAATAATCTCTGGCATCGTTTCATAACTAGCCATGGTTGTCTGCTAACGTTATTTTCTTGGCCGAACGGCAGCTCCATACGTTAAGGCGTAATCACGTATTTCTTCTCCTGCATTCTATGAAAGTCTTACTATTGGAAGCTGTGGAATAGTAGGAAGTGCTGACAATGTTCTGGATAAGGGTATTATGAGCTCTTTTCAGTGGTGTAATAATACACTGTCGAAGAATGTCGTAGCCAACTGGGAACAAGCAAATTTGTAGGATCTGCATGGCGGAGCAGACGTGGCAAATGCGACAAGACGAAGAGCGGCGTTGGAAGCACTCAGTCACGTGGTAGGTAACAAAAGAGGCGTTGATATGCATTCCTACTCTGGTGCGAAAATGACAGATTTTTTAAGAACGTTTTATTGACGCGGTTCAAACGGATGAAAATATGTCAAAGGCTACGCAGCTGTTTTTTAAGAGAATGAGATTCATTTCCGAAAGAAATAAAACTTAATATATTTATAAGGTGTGAAAGCTTGCAGTGTTGATAGCTATGTAATTTATAAAAAGCAACGAGCCTCCAGCATGAAAAAAAGGGAGCGTTATCACTTGACCAAGAAAACCTTGCTCACCAATCAGCAAATTAACCATTTCATTTAAACAAAATGCAACCTTAGAAAATGCAATGTTTTGAGAAAAACACTTTTTAAAGGGTCTAAAATCCCATGTATGGTCAGACAACCAACGGAACATTCGCTAGAAAGATGCGTCACATTTGCAACGAAACAAATCATAAAATATATTGTTGAAAGAAATATTAGAACGTGTTGTACAAACAGGCTTTTATGGTGTATTACCCTTCTTCAGTTGTATTGTAATGCGTTCACCTTCCTATTAATCGGTTTTACTATAAATGATACAAGAAATGTCCTGTTTACGAGACATTGCATATACTGTGCCATTGACACTAAGTATTTTGATTTGCATTTACATTAAGTATTTCTGATCCGCTGATTAAGTACCTTGGCGTGGTGGATTAGCTTGTGTGTTCGTATGATCCGGAGAGCTAAGCTGGCGGGAGCAAGTCTCCTGGCAGGTTTAACCATGCCAGACAGATTGAAGGGTAGGAACCAGACGAAATCTTAATCAACTAAAGGAGTAAACCTCGATGACAAAAAATCTAGGAATGGGCAGCAGCTCTTCTGTGGCACTGATAGGCAAATACCGGCAGACAGATATTATGGCTATTTGTGTTTTGATCGATGGCGGATGATGAATTACACTGTTAAACACAACGGCATGGTTCAACCATTTCTCATTAGTAGAAAACTGCGGTTACTAGTAGGAGTTGCGACCACTAGTACTGAATCGTACTTCCTCTTGGAAGTGTGAAAGCAATTGAAAAAGAACATGACTAACAATTCTACAACTTCTTCATACCACATCGCTCGTCGCGTGGGTCACCAAGGAGCGCGTCCCCCAGTGGGATGCCAGGCTGGGATCGAAAAGAATGCTACTGGCCTAAACATTTCGAAGGATCGCCGGCTTTTTAAGTGTAAAAAGACTACTCTTGTTTCAACTTTCAACTGTCGCACTCTGAGCTCCATTGGAAGGACAGGTGAACTAACTTCAATAGCTAGGGAACAGAACATTGATGTCATATGTATCTAAGAACATCGGATCTACCAAGATGACATCGAGTTGAAGTACCATGACATGAAGAAAGGTTGGGTTATGATTACATCTTCCGCTGAAAAAGCTACAAATAGCTCAACAATACGAGGTGTTGGCTTACTTCTCAGACCGAAAGCACACAAAGCACTGAACTTGGTAGAAACCATCAATCCAAGGACTCTCATTGCCACTTTCAATGGAAATCCTGCTGTTACTGTCATATTCTGCTACAGCCACACCAATGTATCTAACGTGGACGACAGAGAGGAATTCTATGCAGAATTATCAGAACTGACTAAGGCTGTTCCTAATGATACTGGTTTGAGCATTGCTAAACTGAAGAGCACCATGGGAAACCGGAAGGAATGGATGAAGCTAGTTAATGGAGTTCGAGTTCGCTCGAAATAAGCAAGTAAGCAAGCAAGCAAGCATTTTCATTTGAAATAGTGTGTCAAACAGTTTAAACCAACATTATTTAACAAGTATTCAGACAACTTACAGGCTCCTCAAATTTGTCAGGTTGGAGAATACGCCTGCGTCAAGATCCAGAATGTTATTGGAATGAAGATCCCTAATGTAAAAACAAACAAACAAACAAATTCAAGAGGTTGCTCCAGAGTTATGCTCCTCTGATTGTTTCTAGAAATGGTCGTAAAAATAGGTGTTTCGGGTGTATAACCCTTCTTCAGTGTAAGGAAACGTCGTCGCATAAGTCGGTAGCTTAACTCCCATAACCCATTATCATAACGTTAACAGTTTTTCTTACAAAAAAGAGGGGCTCTGTACCCCCAAAGACTTTTTGTGGTAGTTTTAAAATTTTGTCTCTACAACATTATTCTATATGGTCAGACAAAGCTATAGATTGACCCTTCAAACCATCTTTGGAAGGAGAAAATTAAAACAAAAATAGAAAGAAGGCTGGCTTGAAAGAGATTTTTCTTTCAATTTCCGACTCTTGTCGCCGTTTCCCTCGAAAACCCATCAGTGTTATTTTGCGTATTTGAGATAATTATGGCCTGAAAACCGGACAAAAGAATACTGGAGCAGCTGTACCCTTATGTAGTAAGAGTTATAATTAAACATAGAAATCTGTACAGTCACCTACGTATAACTATACGTTTTCCTTTTAGTAATCTGTTTCACAAGAATTGGTGCAGGTAACTAGGCATTAATAGTTTAAAACGACGAAAACAAAAATAATGTTGTTGCCCCCGCAGGGATTTTGCCCAGAAGGCGAAATCCTGAGGAGGCACCCTAGTAACTCGCGCGTATATTAAGGAAAGTACTTGCAGTTGAAATATACAGTCATACAGTCAATATAGAAAAAATCTCGATTTGCTTGAACAGGGGCCGCGAGGAATCGGTGGGTAATGATGACGTTTCTATTGTTTGCGCCCGCAAGTATGAAACTTGCCAGAAACTCATTCTCTCTCTTTGAAATAAGTCGGAATAAGACTCGGCCCAAAACAAGCAAGACGAGTGAATGATTCAACGGCTAGCTTATCACTAACAGAACGATGGACGATTAGAGAAATTCGCCGACCATCAAATCCTGTGCTGACTTATTGCCTGCTCACAGATGTCCTTCCGCTATAAAGTTTAAAATAAGACTAGAATGCCCAAGCGTGAATTGATCAAACGTCCTTTTAATTTCTAAGGCTTACTTTCCGGCAAATAAAATGAACTAAATGTAAAAAAGTGAAATAGAAATAGCGAAAACTTAAACTTCTAATTAAATCTTTTCTTATGGTTTACAATAAACTATTCTCGACACTGAGAATGTTTTGATCAAAGCTGTGTAAATCGAACAGAAACTGTGCATGGAACCTTGCGTTTATTTCCTGTATTTATCTCACCTATTGTATGGAATATGTGTGAACATCTTCATTATCAATTGATATATTTCAAAGAGCTACACAAGGAGCAAGAATACTATATACAGAGCGGGGGAAGCTGTAGTGTCAACTATTACTAGTATAGTGGAGAACCAAAAAGAATGAAGGGCACATACTGGTTATTGTGAAAGCATATTTTATCTAGGAACCATGTGTTTCGCAGTCGGTGTTGTTTTAAGGCTGCCTCACAATTTAATGGAACCAATGTTAAGAGAATTGTCACCAATGAGGATTGTTTAGGTCCACATCGAACCTCAAAAGTTAGAGTGTCCATGGTAAGGAATTACTATTATTTGAAGGACTTGGTGGTTGTCTCCTCGAGTAATTAGTGGACCAGCTGTGGGTCATGAAATTTGGTTTGGTCGGCTTGAACGGACACTCTCTCCCTTTTGTAAGACTTTGAAAAGCAAATGATGATGCTGGTGTGATATTTCAGCGCACCACATTACTTTTGGTAAGTCAAGCAACATCGAAAGGAAGAAAATGTTTACTTAACCTGTGAAGTACATGGCACAAATACGTAAGCTTAACTGAAACGACTTCCATTCGTTGTTTTCAGATATATTTGATTCAGTTGTCTTTGATAAATGTTGCCTCACAGTTATTGGGGCCTCTTATTAGGCATGTAATTTGAACTTTTTTTTAGGACTTATTTTTACTCCAAAAAGGAGCTTAAAGAACTCTTTTTCGGGAGTAAAAGTGACCCCAGATATTGAGGAGTTAAAATAACCCCCAAAAAGGAGTTATCCTGTACCTAAAATTGTTACTCCACTTTCAGAGTTAAATTAACTCAAAAAGAGTAAAAACAACCCATGTAAGAGTAAAAGTAACCCCATTTGGGAGTTATTTTATCTCCAGACTGGGAGTAAAAAGAAGTCTTCTTAAAGCATAAAAATGACCCCAAATTCGGAGTTAAATTAGTAGTTAAAACAACCCCAAAAAAGGGGTTATCCTGTACCTAAAATTTTTACTTCATTTTTGGAGTTATAATAACTCCCTAAAAATTACGGTGTAAGGACCTCTTTCGTTATCTACTTAGAGGGGCACTTTTGGCATCCAATTTGAATATAATCCCACATTCTGGATATCGCCAGCCCTCTAGTGATTTTTGCGAAAATCGCCAATTTCGCCACAATAGAGTACTAAAGTGATGACGTCATAAAAATGAAATTTCTGAAATTATGGGATTTGTCTAGATATTCTGAAAGAACAATGTCCAAGAGGCCTACTTGCCAAAAATGAGCATTTCGCGGCAAATTGTCTCTGAGATCGTAGCCCAGTTATACTCAGAAAATTCTATACAAACCCTTCTAATTTTTTTTTGGGTCGACCCAAAAAAAATTTATTGTGGAGACAAACGGGATAAATACAAAAAAATTAGACGTTATGTAAGTATATATTTTACAATAAACAAATTCTATTCTATCCAAATACAGGGAAAATATTGGAGTGAATTAATACATAGATTTAGCGAGAGCTAAAAGCGAAGCTCCCGTTAATAAATTCACAATATAAATCAGACAATAAACCTGTAATCCACAAATCAGTTAACTTTAGGGAACATTCATGTGACTTTTGAGGCCAATGCTAAGTGATTTTAGAGAAAAATAATTTGACAGTCCAACAGTGAAACAAATTTTACGTCGTGTTGTATGTACACCCAAAAATTCCAATCATGTTCGATCGCGTTAGATTAGGCCTGGGAAACAAATTCTTCTCAAACAAAGTAACCCAGTCGCCCACCACCTTATTTTGTTAAGGCTAAATCATAGTCTCTGCAACCACTGAGTTGGAGAGACTATGGTTAATTGGAAAGTCCCGAAATATAATTTTATGAAACACAGAATATCCGCGTTGCATACTGTACGGTCCAGCCACGAGAAAGAGACTATAAAGATATGGAAGTTTTTAGTGGTAACTGTCTGTTTAAGAAGATAGAAATTTTCGCGCGACGCCACAGAGCGAACGTTGAGATGAGCGACGGACATGAGATGTTTTCGATTCTTTCTTGCTTGATATTGATTTATATACATGTTTTCGATTCTTTCTTGCTTTTGAGCTGGGCCGGGAGTCAACTTTATATCGCCTCCTAAAAGCAGTAAACTCGTCAAGCTTGGGCGAATTCCCTTAGTGTTAGCGGCACCATCTTGTGAAGTGAATGGGAAGTTGACGGTCAAAACTCGCGGAACACCAAATACTTCGTATTGCCAGTTCCTTAATAACAGATAAGTTAAAAATTGTGCGAGTGACATTGAGGTTATGATTTCCGCCGACTGGATTCCATTTCTGCTTGAAAATGCAAGCTAAAAAATACCAAAAACAGGGCAGTCAAAATCGCATGGCCATTATTCGCATAATTACAATTCGCAATAATTCTGCGTATTATGGTTGTTTGTATGTGTAATCAAATGGTGACGAGTGAAATTAGTGAATAATTTCACGCGCGTTTTGTCCAAGGATATAAGGATTTGGACAAAGCGCAAGTGAAATTATTCCCTAATTTCACGAGTATACCATTTGATTACCTATTAATATCATGGGTGACGAATTACGTTAGCAATCTTGGATTTTTGACATGTTTATCCTGGATCGTATCGATCGAGAACTCCACTCTCTCAAATGTTTAGACCTTAAATTTGGCTTACAAAGTTCAGAATTTTTCATACTTTTTCGGCAAAATACCTGTTAGAATCCTTCTTGATGTTTTCTTGTGTGTTCAGGTTTTCTAAAGCGTCTTTTTGTGCCCTGACATCTTCATTCACGGCATTTTAAAACTTCGTCGCCATCTTGACACTGAGACGTACGGAAGGGTTGCCATGGCAATTTTGTAATTTCACATGTGAAATTACAAATTAACGCTGAAATTTCGCGCCAAAATTAAGGAGTAATTCGTCACTTATGATATTAGTCTAGTAACGAAATGTTAGCCCAGCTGTATTAAATTTGATTCATTTTTGAATTTGATTCATTTTTAAAGTGTACACATTTGTTAGGTACACAGTTACATATGTTACACTGTAGGTAAACAGTTACTAAGTGCCTTAACTCTTAATTATACAAAAAATATACCCTCACAAATAGGAAAAACATTTTTATAGACGTCTTCTGGCTGACGTGCATCGCTCTAGAAAACCTTCGCTTAAACTCCCTATTATAAGAAATTGACCTTCTACCTTGCCTGTGACACAAAACTCAGTGAAGGGTTTGTTCGGGTGGGGATAGGGGAAGACTTGCGGTTCAAAACTAGACAAGGTCCTAATGTCTGAGATGATCATCAGCAAACTGGCATACACTAGTAATTCTTTCTGTGACAAAAATCAATCAATTATTGTTTCTTTATTTTAAGGTCATTTCGTTATGCCGCATATGATCAGTTTACCTGTTGGTTACATGGATATCTTGGGAAAAAAATTTCGAAGTGTCATTCCCCCGTGGGCGGTGAAAAAGATGAGGGTTACTTTTCCTGCAGAAGATGGTAATTACACCGGCTACAAAGATGATGACACTGGAGACGATGATGACAATGCCTTGATGGCGAGCAAGCAGGACCAGGCCTGGAGAAACTAATTTAATTTTTAATGTGCGAATGCGCATTTAGCATATTTTGAAGCAATTTATTTGCAAGAACATTATCTTCTGTCAATGATGAATGACTCCATGCTTACCATCATCTCAGTAATTTTTTTCTTTTTTTTATGCAATACAATATATCCTTGATCAAATGGTGCCGACCAAAAAGTTCACAGGTGAAAGGAAAATCAGCACCAACAGGAAACAACCCTTGAGCAAAGGCCACCCTCAAGAAAAGGTAATAGAGACTTCATTCACAATGCCCTTTTTTGGCACACCGATGTTGGGAAATGAAATTAAAGGGAACGATATATGGATCTCTAGACGACCTAGTTGTATCAGTTGATGAAGAGGATATTCCACTTTTTTTAACTCTCTTGATATTTTCACTTAAAACAGATAACACCGCATACAATGTTTTGAAGAGAACAATGACAAACACACCATTAAAAGAAACACAGACGGACATTGAAAATCATGCATTGCGGACGCAAACCACAGATTAGTCAATTATCTCCAAGCAGATAACTAACGAACCGGTAGTAACTGTCACTATATATTAAAAACATTGGTTGCTGTATTTCTCAGGGTGTGTTCCTCGGGGAAATGAATCCAAAAACGGTTTTGTGTTTCTTTGCTGAAATTTGAATTTTGAAACATGAAGCTAAACAATCTAAAATCAGGGGCCGACTAAGCTTAAATCTATTATCGTCTCTTTTCTTTGGCACTGATATAGAAAATGTGGAAATAATGTGAAAATATATACCTGCTTTCTCTTCCCATCCTTTACATTTACTCCCCAATTGATATCGCCCTAAATAATCTACTTCTGTTATTTCAGTTTCTCTGAACGGTTTGCAATTTGGGACATTTGAGATAAGGAGTCTGCACCGCACACTATGTACGTTATTTGAATATAAAATATTGCAATTGAATTCCTTACTGAGACAACAAAGACACAAAAGCAAACAAAATCATTAAGCGAAGAGAGCAGGACTGATTTTACCAACTGAGTCCGTTAACACATTAAAGCAGGCGGATTCATGGATTGATACTGTAGTATAGTGCTGATAGTGTCTGTACTTTACGCTACTCTAGCATTAACTCCAATGCAAATGCAAATAACAACAAAAAATTCAAATAAATAAAGAGCACTTCAACGAGTACAACTTACAAGCGCGATAACCGCGTCAGACCTGAGAACGTTCCTGTTTCCAATTTCTGGATTTTGTTATCTTGAAGATGTCTGCATAATAAAAGAAACACAAGAATCAGGTAGACAAAAGAACTAAAAACTCCTATCACGATAACACCACTCTTAATAAGAAAATATTGCCCAAAATGCTCTTTAAGATTTTGAAAATAGATTTTTCCCCAAAAAAGTGTTCGTTTTCTTAAGTTACTTTTTTTTTGGCCGCTCAAAATGGTTTAAATCTTATTTGGCGGGAAGAACGCAGCAGGTCTCCGTTAACGGATCGCTCTCTGATAAATTTAATATGACTTATGGGGTCCCACAAGGTTCTTGTTTGGGCCCCCTCTTATTTTTCATCTACGCGAGTTAGCTGTTTGACATCTTGAAATCTCATCTGCCATCCGTTCACATCTATGCGGACGATACGCAGCTATATATATCGTTTAATCCCGTTGATAAGACCAGCGAGGCTGATGCCGTGATTGCGATTGAGAACTGTATTCGTGACGTTCGCGCATGGATGAGAGATGATAAGTTAATGCTAAATGACGATAAAACTGAGTTCTTGATCATTGGCACGGAACGACAGTTATCAAAGGTGTCCGTTGACAAGATCAAGATCGGCCAAGCTGAGGTATCGCCTGCCTCTTCATTGCGCAATTTGGGCACCTGGTTCGATTCTCATCTGGACATGTCGACTCATGTGTCTAAGACTTGTGCTAGCGCGTTTTATTACTTGTACAATATCCGGCACATTAGGAAGTATTTGTCTCGCGAGTCCACCGAGAGGCTTGTTCACGCGTTCATCACAAGCAGGCTTGACTACTGTAATGGTTTATTGTACGGTGCTCCTGAGTATCAAATTAAGAAACTTCAAAGAGTCATGAATGCCAGTGCTCGATTGGTTTACTGCGCACCTAAGTATTGTCACGTTACTCCTTTGCTAAGAGAACTCCACTGGCTACCAGTGCGCTTGCGCGTAGATTTTAAGATTCTTCTTGTTACATTTAAGATTCCTCACGGTGTTGCGCCTAGCTATCTTAAGGATCTTGTCTCTGTCTTACCGGACTCACGTTACCAACTACGCCGTAACAATAATGGTATATTGTTAGAAAGGCCTCGGCTAAGAACGGAGAAGACTTTTGGAGATCGCGCTTTATCGATGGCTGCCCACTTTTTATGGAACAGTCTTCCTCTGCCAATAAGACAGGAAACATCAATCGACTCTTTTAAACGCTCTGTTAAAACATATCTATTTAAGAAGGCTTTTAGTTAGATTATTTATTTATTTATTTATTTATTTTTAAATATTGTAATTTTACCGGGTAATTTTACTGGTTTTTAATTTTGTTATTAATAATATTGTAATGCGCTTTTGAGTATTTTTATAGAAAAAGCGCAATATAAGTATTAAATATTATTAATATTATTATTATATTATTATCAAAAGGGGCCTATAGAGAATGACATATTGAAACTTCCCGCTCCGCCATTTTCAGGGGCATGAAAGGCTCTCGGGGGTTATGACGTAATATGGTTGCTCGCCCTGGCTGCCTGGACGCAATTCTGGTGTTTTTGTTAAAAACAACACGCTTCGAGTCGTGATCTGCACAAGCGATCGTGATGTCTATTCAGCCTTACTAGCTTGAGGCTGAGTACTCTTCCAGTGAAGAAGCTGAAGAAGACGCGAAGGATTCAGAGGAGGAAGAAGTTTTGTAATGTCAATCTTCGAGCATTGAAAGACGCCGGACGGATTCTTCTTGTTGTGTTTGTAAAAGATGTACAGTCATGTCAAGTGAAAGTGAATGTGTGATACAAAGAACTCCCTTTTTGTCAAAACCAGTGGAAGATTTGTTACTTTACACGTCACTTTTTAATTTGTTTATTTCCATGGGGAGCCAGGAACTATGAAAGTCCATGATGCCTAGACAAGACTAGCCTGGTGGTTTGATGCTGATGGCAATTTTTGGCCTCCTTATTACCAAAACTACTCGATCGATTTACCGTTTATTTGGTCCAAATAAATTGTACTCTTTTACTGTCGAAATCACCAGAGAAACCATTTTGGAAGTGTAAGTCCTAAACATTTTTTTCAACGTATTTATTGATAATCACATTAATTAATTACATTTACAATGCTAAAAAAAGCATTTTAACAATAGACATTAACAGAGTAAAGCAAAATTAATCGTTAAATTATTACAGGGCTAAAAGAAATTAGAAAAAAGTACAACAGGGCAATTAAGTAATGCTGCGTTAAGATATTTAACTTAAATAGGGTGTCAGTATCCAATTTCATTTAAAGAAATCTTTGTTGCTGATTTTTTTTGTTTCATATTTAGCGCTGATCTCCGCCCTAAATCCATAAATGTTTGGAAGGATTTGTTTGCTCCTACGGTCCCACAAGAATTGTTTTCCAATAAGTATAAAATAGTTCAGCAATTGAAGTAAAGGACAAGCATTTTCCGTCAAAATTCTAAAGAACACATTTTCTAAGCAGAGACGAATTCGTTGATTCAAAATAAGGCACCAATATAATTCACATTCAATCCAAAACTGATTTCGAATTGAGTTAATTACTTTGTACTGGAAGGCTTTAACATACGATTCGACAACGATAGAGTGTGGCAGCTTAAATATTTGTTTCAGATGGTCCCTGTTAAAATGAAAGTTACTCTGTAACTTTTGAATAATATTGGGCAGTTTGGCTTTTTCTCTGACAAGTAGCGTGTAGTAATCCTTTGATTTCCCTTTCGTAACATAAAAAATGTTGTCACCCATCACAAATTTTAGTGAGTTTATGGAGGGATACCTGTTGTAACTTCTTAGCGATAATGGAAGCCAGCCCATTCTAAAATATTTGTTTTGCATACGTTTTTCGACAGTTGATTATAAGAATCAGTACTGTTCAGACTACTAAATAAAAGGACTTGAATGCAAATGACTCTCGCATTAACATAATGTTTATAATAAACCGGCTTGTTTTCTAGTTTTATTTCTTTGTTATTCTAGGTTATGATTTTCCAATCTTCTTCAGTGGCAAACGTTTCACGAAATTGCGACCACCATAACAATAGTTCCTGGTAGAATTGAGAAGGAATTGTGTAATCCGAGATATTGTAGTTGCAGTTAAAAAAGAACAATCCCCCAACGGAGCTAACTATGTGTTGTAGGTAGCTTTTCCATGTTCCATTGGTCCCACTGAAAGAACGTTTTCACCAAGCTAATCTCAATGATTTAACCATGCACTCGAGATCTACCATTCTTAGCCCTCCCTCTTCGTATTTGTTTATAATTTTTGGAACCGTCGAAACAAGAGATAACTGACCTCCTTTTTGTACTTGTTCCGCCTTTTTTGTCGAGTAATGGATCGAGTGGACAATTTAGTTCTCCTCCTAGTATGATGTTATCCAAAGAATCCAGATTTCATTTTGCAAAATTGAAAGAAGGTTGTTGAAAGTTTCACTTGGTCTTTATCTTTGCTTGACGTATAAACATTAATCAGCACATAGACTTTATCTTGGATTCAAGCTTTTAATAAGCCCTAAACATTTGCTTACTCAGAGAGGGACGCGAGTGATGTTTATGAAGTTCTATGAAATAAAGGAAAGCACGAGCTTAGCCAAATCCTTTATTGCGGGTTCCTTGATAACTGATAAGCTGAAAATTGTGTGAGTGACATTGGGGTTATGATTTCCGCTCACTGGATTCCATTTTTTCTTGAAAATGCAAGCTAAAAATACTAAAAACAGGGGAGTCCAAAATCGCATGGCCATCATTCGCATAGTCATAGTTCGCAATAATTCTGCGTATTATGGTTGTTTGTCTAGTAACGAAATGTTAGCCCAGCTGTATTGAATTAATGAAGAGGATATTCCACTATTTGTTAACTCTCTTAATATTTTCACTTAAATTAAATAAAACCTCATACAATGTTTTGAAGAAAAGAATAACAAACACACCATTACACGAAACCCAGACGGACATTGAAAATCATGTATTCCATGCGCAACCTACAGTTTAGTCAATTATCTCCAAGCAGAAAACAAACGAGCCGGTAGTATAACTATATATTGCAAACATTTGTTGAGGTACTTCCCAGGGTGTGTTTTTTGGGGAAATTCATGAATCCAAAAAACGGTTTTGTTTCTTTGCTAAAATTTGAATTTTGAAACATGAAGCTAAAGAATCTAAAATCAGAAGCTGACTAAGCTTAAATCTACTATCGTCTCTTTTCTTTGGCACTGATGTGGAATACATTCATCTGAATTGCGGAAATCCTGTGAAAATATATACCTGCTTTCTCTTCCGATCCTTTACATTTACTCCCTATTCGATATCGCCCTAAATAATCTACTTCAGTCTGTAATTTCAGTTTCTCTCAGTGGTTTGCAATTTGGTCTGTACCGCACACTATGTACGTTATTTGAATATAAAGCATTACAATTGAATTCCTCAATGAGATGACAAAGACATAAAAGCAAACAAAAGCGTTAAACGAAGAGAGCGGGACTGATTTTACCAACTGAGTCCGTTAACACATTAAAGCTTGCAGATTCATGTATTGATAGTGTAGTATAGTAATGATAGTGCCTATACTTTACATTACTCTAACATTAACTCCAATGCAAAGGCCAAGAACAACAAAAAATTCAAACAAATAAAGGGCACTTAAACGAGTACAACTTACAATAGCTGTAGAAAATTCAGACCTGAGAACGTTCCCTTTTCCAGTTTCTGGATTTTGTTATCTTCAAGATATCTGCGTAATAAAGAAACAAAAGAATTGGGTTGACAAAAGCGCTAAAATCTCCTATCACGATAACACCGCTCTCAATAAGAAATATTGCCCAAAATGCTCTTTATTTGAAAGGAGATTTTTCCCACAAAAAAAAAATGTTCGTTTTCTTTAGCTACTTTTTTTTGCCGTTCAAAAAAGGCCTATAGTGCTATAGAATGACAGATTGAAACTACGCCGTCAGCGGCGCGCAAGGCTCTCTGGAGTGACAACGTAATAAGGTTGCTCGATCGGGCTGCGTCAGTATCCATTTTCTTTTAAAGA